CTTGGAGTTCAGCTTTCTCAGGGCTTGGTATGCAGGACGAAGGTCATTTACTAAGAACTGGCCTTCTACCTCCTCTGCAAGACTCTTAATAAACTGTTCCTTGTCCCTTCTTAACAGGGACCGAGTTCTGCACATATGAGAACAGTGCAATTCCCGATCCCCTATCAGACGAGCCACATGACATGCATCTGTGGCTTCCAGTGTCTCCTGCGAGATGGAATTCTGTACTGCTCTCGGGCGTACACCAATCGTATCTTGAGCTGCATTAAGCGTTTCACGCTTAAAGGTATCCCACAGAAGAACAGGGTCTGTCAGACTGTCAAGCCTTGCGAAACGATCAGAGATTGCCTCAGCAAACCCGCGGGCACACTCCCCCTCCCTCAGCCTGTCCAAATGAAACACCCTAGTGTGATCATTTGACCGCTGGGAGTTTTGAAGTGGACCCGGAGGGTAGCCACAACCAATCTATGGTCAGTACCTCAGAACTCAGCACTCCTGTACACCCTACAATTGTGAAGGATCCTCCAACGAGTGCTAACGAGTATGTGGTCGATCTCCTTGGCTGCATTACCCGCATCACTGTACCATGTCCAGCGATGTGGGTCTGGGCGCTGGTACCAGGAGCCAGAAATCCTCAATTTCTGGGACCTAGCAAAGTCCCGGAAAAGGAGGCTATTTTCGCTACCGGCATCAGCTCCTGAACCATGGGGACCGACAGACATCTCATAGCCAGCTCAATCACAGCCAGATACCACATTGAAGTCACCCAGAACAATGCGAATATCTCGCCGGGGACATCTGTCTACCACAGATGTAAGTTTGGCGTAGGACATCTCTTTCACGTCAAGTTTACAAACATCGTTAGGAGTGTACACAGCAATAAGAGACATGAAGCCAAAAGATAGCTTCAATCTCAATACCATTATATGCTCATCAACAGGAGTAACCTCTACTACCGAGGGCTGGAGTCTGCTGGAGATGGCAATAGCTACTCCCTGGAGATGGCGGCCGTCGCTGCGGCCCGACCAGTAATAGGTGTAGCCACCTACACAGGTCATGCCGCTGCCAGGCCTCCTCACCTCTGAGAGAGCAGCTACCTCAACTCTCAGCCTCCCCAGTTCCCTCGACAGTAGAGGCAACCGATAGTCCTGACGCAAAGAACGGACGTTCCAAGCCCCCACCCTGACTTTCCGCCCGAGGTTCAGCCTCTGGCAGTCGCTCCGGGTAGATGCCACCTCTGCCACCCCTACCGACGCTGCCCCATATAAAAGGGGGTGGCGGGTTGCGTGCCCCATCATCCACCTGTGGGGTTCCCGAGGGCTTTCCCCCACAAGTTTCACTCTGGGCTGGCGGCCACCAGAGCGCAGGCGAGATGAGTAGTTCCCGTTCCCAGCCTGCGCTCCAGCAGTCACCCTCCCAGCAGGGCCCACAGTCTGCCTCACTTGCTGGGTGGGAGAGACTTTTGCCCTCCTCCCAGCCTTTCCGTTTATTTGAAACACTGCCGATTGGTTATATCTGGGGGGAGGAGGACTGGCAAGGCCCACCTCCCCTGAGCCTCCCATTTACCCCAGGGGGCTAGGAGGCAGGAGTTGGTACAGGGCCAGGGCGTGTCCACACGCCAGTGGGCCATGACCCTGAACCTCTGGGGCCTCTTGCTGGTCCGAGATCCCCCTCAGTTTAGCCTGGAACCGCAAGGTACCCAGTTTCCATGGGAGGCCACGAGGAGGCACTGGCAGGGGTAGGCTTATGCAGAGCTGCTCCCTTTTTCACATGAGGCTAGCCAGCGGTGGCAGCTGTAAGCGAGAAAGCATGCAAAAGCTCTTAACACTAACTAGACTACCACTCCATCGCTTCACACCACCCTGCGCATGAAGCACCCACCCAAGGTATTAATGCTCAACATAAAATAGATCTAGCGCGGTGAGTGAATTCAAGTTTGAGCAATGATAAAGAACCTGTCTGGAGTGCTACATAGTTGGATTAGTGCCCATCCTAGGGCCTCCTTAGCAAATGTATTCCCATTTCTAGTTGGTTATTAAAAGTTCTAGAGTTGGGAAGTAGAGAAAATTGTCCTGCTATTTAGATCTTGTTTTCTTGAGAGATTACAAAATGATTCATAAAACATTTATTTTGGAGTAAAATTGAATGTGCTACAGCTTTTGATGCCTGCAAAGGTAGAGTCTCAAAATATCGGAAGTTGAATTTTTGTGTATTTTCAAGATTTTTTTAGTATTAAGAAAATGAGGTATAAGAGTAATGTTCCTATTACATAATCATAATTACATAAATTTATTTATTTATTTATGTATTTTCTTTTTTTTATTGATATTTTTATAATAATTGGAATAACTGATTTCAGAGGAAGTTTCTTTTTTTTTTTTTTTACAAATATGTCACTTTTACAAGAAGCAAAAGAAAGCATTGCAAAAGCAAAATAGAATAAACATGAGATTTATTATTCAGCTACAAAATGATTCATAAAACATTTATTTTGGAGTAAAATTGAGTGTGCTACAACTTTTGATGCCTGCAAAGGTAGAGTCTCAAAATATCGGAAGTTGAATTTTTGTGTATTCTCATGATTATTTTAGTATTAAGAAAATGGGGTATAAGAGTAATGTTCCTATCATTTACCTACATTCCAAAGTCTTGTGGAAATTCCCATCATATAACAATACCTCACCATGCAACTTATTTTATTGTAGGATCACATTGATTTGGGGTGTTTCTAGTGTACAATTATCATTTTTAAAAATTATCTAAAATCCAAAAAATATAACACAGGCATTCTGATTTCTTTTTCAAACAGAAAAACCTTTTATCTAGTGCATGTTCAAAGCACTTTTTTCAGTTGTGACCTAGTTTTTATTTTGTGAATATTTTACGTAAACAATTTTTAGAACACCATATATATTTTTTTTATTATTATTTTTATTATTTTTTTTTTTATTATTTATTTTTTTTTTTTTTTTTTGTCACTTTTACAAGAAGCTCAAGAAAAAATAGCAAAAACTTTGTGGAACGTGCAATATATTCAGCTATGAAATGAGCCATAATATGTTTATTTCGGACTTAAATTGTGTGTGCTATTCGTAGAAATGTAATGTATGGAAATATTGCAAGTTTTTTTCCTCTTCATATATTTTACAGTTTGGATAACAATTGTTCTATGAAATAATTCTGTATGATATAATCAACTATTATTACCCTTTATTGTTGGTCTAATGGGGCTTTACAACATATAATACTGGTCTCAGATATGATCGTTTTTCATGCCTGCGCATCGCAGCGCAGGGGACTTAAGAGAAAAGGCCACAAGCATTTGTTTTTGAGGCGAGGGTCCCAGGCCTTGTATCTCTACAGGACGAAACACCCACCTTGCAAACCAACACTCCAGTGAAATACAGACATACAAATACAGGGTGGTGTAAAACTATGTATATAAGATATACAAGTATATACAGATCATTTCTGTGTATTCTATGACCTTATATTTATATATCTTGTTACTACTTCTTCTTTTTCTTTTTTTCTTTTTTTTTTCTTTTTCATTTTCTCTTTCTTTTTTTTCTGTTTCTGTTTCTTTTTTCTTTTCCTTTTTTCTTTTTTTTCTTCTATTTACTTTTTCTTTTCTTTTTTTCTTTTTTCTTCTATTTTCTTTTTTCTTTTGTTTTCTTTTGTTTTCTTTTTTCTTTTTTTTCAGGATAATACAAAAAGTTATGAACAGATTTTTATGAGATTTTTATCAGGTGTCTCTTAGCAGTACTTAGATGCCATTACATTTTGGTGATGATCTGGATAATAATCAAGAATATTTTTTCTAACTCAAAAAGCTACGGACAGTTTTTAATGAAATTAAAATGTGATCTGGATCATTTGGCAAACTTACCCCCTTTTTTCAGTGCCCTTAAGTCTGAGAGAGACAAATTAATTGATGGATGGCACTGGAATTATCCAATTTAGAGTTAGCTCTGAGTAAGAAGTGAGGGGGCTTTTTCAAAAGGAAAACAAGGGAAACCAGTTGGATCAGAAAAGAGGATTGGAATTGCATGAGTTTCAGAGTATACTTTTGGCTAAGAATCATTCAGCTAAAAGACCCTAAGGAAGATGAAAAGACAGTAAGATGTCTGTTCATTGGCTGACACATTCAAGGTGTCACAATAAGCATTTTAAAGTCAGAAGGAGAGAGGGGTTGCCCATGTTACTGACACATACCATTCAGTGACCAGTTAAATCTCGAAGGGGAGAAATGTTATGAGAGTAATTGTAAGCATTAGATGTCAAGAGTATGTAAACAGCATTGTATGTATGTTTTTGTAAGAGCTGTATCACTAAGATCAGTTCTAGATCAGTTTAGCCACTTGTATGTTATGGGATAGCAAGACGTAATTCCATATTCAGTACTATTTTAGTTTAGGTATTGAGTTATAAATGGATGGCTCAACAAGAGTTTAGTCAGCATGGAGTAATTACTGGTTCTAACTGTCTCACCTGTTCACCTTTTTCGTTTTTAGGGAAAAAAATACATTAAGATAACTATAATGTTATTAATTCTAATAGTGTATACCGTACCTCCGAGATATGGAGTATAATATGTGCCCATGAGGTATAGTATATTGATGAAATAATTAGATTTGATGCCTCAGGCCTTTTCAATTTGTAGAAATATGTAAATGATTATCGAAAATTGTAATTTCTTCTGTGAAGGAGTTGGCAGCTCTTTAAAAAAAAAAGTGCAATAGGAAGATCATGGGTAAATCTGTAAAGACTTTAAAAGGCCTTAGAATATCTTTTAATACAATGGAAATTAGATGGTGCATGAAAATAAATGCATATATCCAGTTCTCCTTATTGATCATGATACTCTAGATGATGATGATGATGATTTTTTAAAATTTATTTATTTATTTATATATATATATTTTTTTAAGCTTCTAAGTGCTTATAGACAAATATGTTGAAAGAATGTGTATATTTACATGTTTTATTCATTTTTTCAGGTAGATCAGAGTTTGATGGAATCTGTCCTTGAGGTTGCTGATATGCTCGAGGTGAAGGGGCTCTCACGTATACGTTCCAATACTTCCCTAAAGAAATTCATGGGACATACATCCCCAACTGCCTCAAATACACCAGTCACAGAGGAGCCAAGGTCAGGCTGCAGGTCTCCAGAGGATCAGTTCTATCAAAGCAACCAACAGGAAAGCAGGACCCTTGAGGCAGATGGAGGATGGAGGGGGTTGCAAGGCAGCACAGTGAATGACAATGGCCCTTCCAAGGAGAACATTCACACACCAGCAGAAGCGATCTCTACCTCTCACACACCAGCTCATGCTCCTTGCCACCAAGGCAACACCCAGGAGGACCAGGATGAAACACAGACTTCAGGCATTGATCTTTCCTTAGCTAAGAATGAACCTTGGTCACCCAGGGAAGGTATTGCTCATGCAGGACCAAAAGAAGATATTGAAGAAGAAGGATTAGGCCCAGCAAAGAAAAAAAGAAAGCATGTACGTATTGAAAGGCTTAGGTCTTCATATATCCTTTCTTTGTTTTTGATACTGTATCACATATAATTTTATGGCTTTTTAATGGCATTGTTTGATTGGAGACCAAAATTTTTTTGGGATGTGTAGATGGTCATACTCTATACTGTTTCTATTAGAGTTTTTTATTTGCCATATCATAGTTATTTGGTAACTGAACTTACAGGCAGTTTTCATACTTTTAAAGCATTTGCCCTGAGTTTGTGCACTTTACCATAATTTTTAGTGAATTTTGTGACACACAGATGGCTCTACAAGTGCTCAGCCACCAAGGACCTATTTGGTATGTTCTAGTGACCGTATCTGATTTTTCCTATCCTTGAATGTGCAGGAAAGTTTGCAGGGATATGCAGGAGATTTTTTCCAATGCTGTTTATATTGACTCCTTAGTGACAGTACTTGTGGAGCCATCTCTATGTAAACAGGATTAATAAACTAGAATTATAATGGTTATGGTATTTATATCATGCCAACTGGACCCATTTGTTTAAAGAAGGAACGGTGCATTTCAAATTATATCAGGGTTATGTATGAGACATGGTGTTAGGACAATAGATGGATTCCAGCTGACGTCACATGTTTTCATTTTTGATAACTGCGCAGGAGCTGGCAGGCAACTCATCACGAAGGTGTTGTGGCCCCTATCAGAAAGGATCAGATAACAATCAGCAGATCCATGCGAAAAGTATACATTCTTTGTTCTTTTCTATTATAATCTTATGACTGCATTGTCTGAGGAAGAATGGAAATGGTATAAATTGAAGCTTACACTCTCAAATGGTCATATGCTCCCTGATCCGTATTCACTCCTGAAAGAGTAGAGGAATGATATTACTTTGCTTGATACCACCTAGTCTGATGTTTATGATTATCTGATTGATACACCAAGCTCTTTCTTAAGTGAGTGAGAAACCAAGAAAACGGCAAACTGTTTGGTAACCCTGTATAGGAATTCATCATATCTTCATGATTTTAGTTTGAGCTGTAGGTCTTTTTATGACTCTGGTGCTTAGAAGTTCAGATTTATAGATCAGATATGAAGGATTTGTAAGAAAGTTAAGAATTTTATTTTGTAAAATGAATAACTCTGCCTTTAACACTGCTAATCTCTCCTTCATGGGCTGTAGTTCTTGGCCATCATCATCAGTTTGAGTAGCCTTATTTATCAGAAATTCAGCCTCTTCAGAATGCAAGACAGAGAAAGAAGTTAGTACTTCATCAGAAGAAACAATGTTTCTACTGATTGAAGGTTCTATGATTAACCATCTCTCCTTTACCTTTTTGTATCTTTCCATATTTTGGAGTGACTTAAAATAACAAATTTTCTCGAAGATAAAAGCTGAGGGTACATAGTCAGGGTGAGATGGGTCCAAAGATTTTTTATCTGCAACAAATGTTTTAACTTGTATTGTATGCAGACAACATAACAGAAATTATGTATGAAAATTATTTCTTATAAGAAATCACTTATAAGAAACTTTGACCTCAATTTTGTTAAAATAGATAAATAGATAAATAAATAGATAAACAAGCAACTACTCTAGCTAAATTCATCAAGACAAGAAACTTTTTTATTTGCAGTTTTAGTATTCTCAAATCAACTGAAAAAGTTTTGGCACTGTACAGTAAAATTACATATTTTTAAATTGGTTTAAGTGGAAATTATAGTATCTTACTAATGAATTTCGAGGACCCTTCCAACAAAGAATTTTACCACTACATTGTAGGCAATAACAATATAAACTCATAATAAATTTATAGCAAATTGGCCCTAAAATTAAAACAGTACTTACCAACTCTGTATTCAAATGTGTTGTATTGATTGTAAAGACAATTATAAACCAAACTATGCCAAATTACAAATTTAATATTAATAGAACTGCATTAGCCTACCTAGCCATGTTGAAGAATGTTTTCCTCCAAAGTTTATCAAACATAAAACTATAAAAAATGA